GTAATGAAATAAAATAAATATTTTTATTATTTCCTTGTTTTTGTATAAAATTTAAAATAGAAATGATCATTCCTTTCTTAAAAAAATTGATTGCTATGTAATCGTTGTTCTATTCTAAAGTAAATTTAAAACAAAAACCAAAATCAAATTTGTAAAAAAATCATTACATTTCAAGTCGAATAATCACCACCACCATAGTAACCTTTACTTCTTTCCACCACCGTCGCCTTCATGGTCATTGTTATCATCAACATCACCATTACTACACCGACGTCATCTCCATTTTCTTCCACCACAACTGCACCCTTTCAATGTTGTCGTCCCCACTACCACTACCTCCACGGCTTTCTAATACTACCTTTCACCCCCATCAGCCATTTCTTTTTAAAAAAATTATTGAATAATGCTTTTTGTTAGTTTAAATTATTTATCATTGAGAGGGGTATTTTAGAAATTTTAATTTGAAATTAATTTCATTATAGGGTTTAAATTGATACAACCAAACACTAGAATGACGATTATCATTTTATTCATAAGTCATTTTATATTTGCAACCTAAAAATATAATGAGAATGACACTCCATTCTATTCTCATTCTTAATCAATTCCTGCCTACCAAATACAACATTAAAGTTCTTATTGAACACTATATATTGATAGTTTGTAACATTATTCTACTATAAAATACAGATTGGTTTATGAAATAAGCCACACTCTTTCGGTTTTTTGAACAAATTAATGAAAATTTCTTCTATTCTCTGTGTTTTCCATCCTTCCTACCAAATTTCCAACCAAGCAAAGCATAAGCCTTTTCTTTATTTTTAATTTTTTTGAGTTCATTACAAATTAGGGTTATATGCAGTAAGTTATTGAGTTAAAAAGAAAGTGGTGTCTTATTTAATTGATTAATGATAATACTAATGTTTGAGTGAATTATGGTAATAGGTGACATCACAGGACTAAAGTCTACACGAATCTGATGTTTCTTGAGAAAGTTATATAATAATCTTTTCCCTGTTTTTTGTGGCTTTGGATTATCTTATGACTTGTGTGGGCCAGAATTCCAGCAAAGTCCACATGCACCTGATGTGGGAATGGGTGGGTTCCAATGACCTACTACCATGCAATTTTGCCGTTCCCCATTGTCTAATGATATTAGTTGGCCAATCTCAAATATTCAAAAAGTTGTTGGCTTAATGCCTTCAGCCTACTTTATACCCTTTCTTTAATTTGTATTAATATTGCTATTTTATTTATTTATTATTACTTTTTAAATCTTTTTTTTCTCAAACTGATTAAAATTAAATCTTTTTTTTCTCAAACTAATTAAAAATGTCACCTTTTGAATATTTCTTTGAAACTGAAATACCAATATATATATATATATATATATATATATATATATATACACACACACACACACACACATATATTCACTATCCAATTAGGTCTAAATTATATTCATTCAGAGTTCATAATTTCTCCATCTTTTGTATTTTTTTTTCTTTCTTTGTTAATTTGTGTCTCATTTAAAAAGTCAACATAGAATGCATCTTTAAATTTTTTTTTAACAAGAATTTTTGACCTAGGAAGTATTTAACTATTGAAAAAAATATATAATTCTAAAAAACTATTTTTAGAGACGAAAATAATAAAAATGTCACCCCCAATTATCCCAACCAATCTTTAGACGTTAAGAGGTTTCAAATAAGAGATTGCTAGCCTTGCGGTGAAAATCTATATATAACTTTTTTAAATAATTAATTAAATAAATATATATATTTTTTTAAGACAAGAAGGATTATAAGTTAGATTACTAGATGGAGAGAGTAATCAAATTTATATGCAGAGAGTAAACTTTTTCAAATAATTAAATAAATATATATATATATATTTTATAAATCAATTTCTAAGTTATTTTATTTACCCAAAAAAAAAAAAAAAACCCCAACCCTAACCTATCGCCACAAACTGGGACTGCTTTCGATTATCTATGCACACCATTACTCCAACAGTATTCTATTGGAATGGTACCTTTTGGCTTTTACCTCCAGGTTCCATCTATGTGTGTGTGTCTATATATATATATATATATATATATTACAGTTGTCTCCTGTCCACGTGCGGGCCTACCAGGTCAATTCCAATTCTCCGATATATATATATATATATATATATATATATTTATTTTCAAAACTATACCATTATTCACTCATTCATTATAATACCCAAAATGGGTACATCCACAATCAGTCATCATGTGATTTGCTGTACCACCTCATTAACTTACTACAATACCTTGTCTAAATTAGGATTAATTAACTTCAAATGTGATCAAATGTGACTTGCTTATTTCACAGAGTTATTATCGTGAGCTAAGTTTGAGTAGATTGACCAGTCATTGATCAAACTTGACTTCATTCAATCATATGATTTAATGGTTATTTCAAAAGTGCACTTTCACAAAATTGATACTCCGTATCTAAGGGTTTTTTTTTATCACTCTTTTGGTTATTGTAATTTTTATCTTTTGATGGAAGAGATTTTAAAGAGTCCTGAGTTGCAAGAGCACATGATAAATATTGTTAAATTCCAATGTTATAGAAGAAATTAATGTTAATGATGCACTCTTCCTTCGCCTTCAGATGTTGGGACTATTCCCAGCCATTTACTTTCATGACATTGAATCGAGATTTGAATTTAGGATTAAAGGAATTTTAGTTCAAAATTTATATTAAATTTTTTCTAATCCCAAATTTAAGTTAGGTAAAATAATCCGAATACAAAGTATGAAAAGGTATTTATAGCTTTCCCATTGTTACTAGGACTCACCCTCAATAGAAAGCACTTTTAATTAGGGATGATAATTTGTATTGCTCTGCCCCATCCCTAATGGCACAGGTATAGAAACCGTTGATTTTTATTTTAAACTTGTTCACGGGTTACGGGTTTGAGAAACATCCACCTGCCCTTGCTCTTTCTACTTTATTTTTTTATAAAAAAAATTGTATATATATAGATGTGTATATGTGTTATAAATGTGTGCAAATTATTGTGTTTACACACACGCGCGCGCGCACACACACATATATATATCATTATTTGCATGGTATAGAATTTATAAAATTTATTAATTTATTATTATTATTTTCCTAATTAATTTATTTATATAGATAAAAAAAAAAACGTAAACAACGCAGACAGACCCAAGTATACTGAGTATGAATTGTAAATTAAAATCTATCGCAAGTATGAATTTATTCATAATTAAACGAATTTAAGCAAACCCTCTTTATACACGTCTTGTTATTAAATTTTAACACTTGTTTCAATTTTGAAAGACCTCTGTGACATCACTAAAATATCATAAGATGGATAAATGTAACTAATATATCTCTTTTGTAAATGATTTCAAAATAACATTAGCTCCAGCCACTGAACGGATAGTCAATTTAAACCATTAGAATTTGACCCAATATTTTAAAAGAAGTCGAACTTTAAATATACATACATTTTCACAAATAAACCGTCCTAGATTAATTATTGTAAATATCTCTCTTCACAATGGTACATGCAATCCTATCATACATTGTGCTTCTTGCTAGCTTAATATGTAACGAATGATCAACGGTTTTGATTAACTATCGCATGATTCTTGCAATGCTGCAGGGGCAGGTGATCATTGTTCTGGTACGGGTCGGTGTCGGTCACTTGGTTTTGTGACCATTGAGTCAACGTCATTTTACTTGGTGACATCTGAGTCTCCGATTAATTGTCAATTCATCGGCGATTTTATACGGTATTGGGCGCCAACAGTGTGGGACCCAACCAACTGTCCGCTCACTTTTCTCAGCTCTCGCAAATTGTGCTTTCTTTTCCCGAAACCAGCCATCTTTGCCAGCTCCGTGAAATTCATTACCCAAAATGGCCTTACCCTTTTTAAAAATTTATTCCCACTCCTTTCCATCACTGAAGGTGCCAAACTTCCACATGCTCGTAATGATACAAAATTGCTCATATAAGCAAATCAATTTTTATTATTCGTTTCATATCTCAGTGATGTATTATTAGCCAAACAAAATAATTTCATACCATGCCATCATATTGTAAATGACACGACAAAATTACCCTTCTTCTAAAGCCATTGCTAATTCATCAATATAATATTTAAAAAATAAATTTTATTTTATTTTATTTTACAAAATAAGAATGGTTAAAAGTTACTTTGTGTATTAGTAGATGTCAAAACTTACCAAAGGCACTAACTCACTTAATTATAGAGACATCTGCAATATTTAGAAAATGAATACTAATCCACTAAACTATAGAGATATTTAAAATATGTAAAAAATGAATGATAATATTCAATAAGTGGGGATCAACCGATATATCTTTATTAAAAATCATTAAGAAAATAAAAGAAATATTTGATTTTTTCTATACAATTTTAAACTACTATTTTTAAAGTTTTTCTTTGGTGTCTCAAGATTTCTTATTTCAAATGATACCATGAGATCTTACTTGTGATGGAGGGGCTCAAGTTTCCAACGTTACATCTCTAGGTTAATAAAGTGTCACTTAAACTTCTTCTTCTTCTTCTTCTTCTTTTATTTTTTATTTTTGAAAACTAACAAAGTTAATTAAATTGACTCCTACCCATAATTTCTTTCTCGCTTTATATTTTCCTATATTTTTTAATTTTTTGAAAACAAACATAGCATATATGTTTTAAAGCAGCAGCTCTCAAGTGCTCCATTTGCTAGATACAAATGGAAAATAAAAGCATATCATAATGGGTTCAATTATAATGCCGATTTGGGTCACTTATCAACCCCAATATAATATAACTAATGATTCGTTTAAAGGTAATTTAGTCATTTAACAAAAAAATCTCCTGTTGGAGGTCTCCCTCTCACACACACTCTCTCTCTAAAGCCAGTCGCTTTCGCTTTTTACTGTCCTAACAGTTACCAGTCAATTCTCATTTTAGAGCCAAAAACAAACACTAGAATAAAATGCTCTGTTTACAATCCTCTCTCTTTCTTTCCTTCTTTTGTCCTTCAAATCCTCTCAGTAATTCCCTTCTTCTCCAATTTTCCTTCCATAATTTCTCTCTTGAATTCATACATATACATTTATACATATATATGTATATATCTGTTCATGTATGTCTCCGTTTCTCAAATTCCTTCAATCTCAATTGTTCCTTCATAGACACTGTACATAAATCTATATTATTCTGCTAAACCCATCAAAGATTCGATTGTTCAGCCATGAATCTTCTCTTGATTCTACTGATTTTCCTCCTCCTTCACATACAATCCCTCTGTTCATACCCTACTCCATTGAACTGTACGGACACTTCTCGCTTGTGCACATCGTTTTTGGCTTTCAAGCCTAATCCCAATCAAACCCTCGCTGTGATTCAGAGCATGTTCGATGTGTTCCCCGAAGACGTGACCGTCGAAGGCAACGGCCGGGACTACTTGTTCATAAGGAAGAACTGTTCGTGTGCTATGAATATAGAGAAGTACTTGACCAACACTACGTTCACTGTGAGAGAAAATGGTGGATCTGTGTATGATATGGTGATTGACTCCTATGATGGGTTGGCTTTTTTGCCCAATTCGACTCGGCCCGCGAGAGTTGGGGCTGTGGTGTCATTGCAGTTGTTCTGTGGTTGTTCGAGCAGGTTGTGGAATTATTTGATGAGTTATGTGATGAGAGATGGGGATAGTATCCAATCATTGGCGAGTCGGTTTGGGGTTAGCATGGATAGTATTGAAGCTGTGAATGGAATTGATAACCCTGACAATGTCTCTGTTGGTGCACTATACTATATACCATTGAATTCAGGTAAATTCTTCTTCTTTTGCTATACTGGTTATTTGGGTAATTGATGCATATTTTATTATTTTGGTGAATAATTTGGTCTGACTACTAGGTTTAGAGTTTGGTGAAGCCGTTTATTGAGTGTGAATGTGTGATTGTTGGAAAAACATGTAATTGAGTACTATAGGATCATGATTTTGTTGATACATCATTTTGTAAGATGATTTTGAAGTACCCTTTTAATTGAGGATCAGTTTAGTAAATCAAGTTACTTTGTTAGCCAGTTTAGGTCTATTTTTATTTATTTATTTATTTATTTTTTGAATGGTAATTTATATCTATGGTTGCATACTAATTATTGAATCAAGTGACTTAAAATCTTCTTCTGCTGCTAGTCTGATTCCAGTAATATCTGGTTTTGGAATATTATTATATGGGTAATTGATGCATATTTTATTTTGTTGGATAAATTTGGTTTGACTAATAGGTTTAAGTTGGTGAAGCCAATTATTGAGTGTGATTATGAAGAACCCTTTTAATTGAGGATCCGATTAGTAAATCTAGCAACTTAACTAGGTTGTCTGTGTTTTTGGTGGCAAACAAATTAGCGGGTATGCAACAGATTAATTAGACTGTTCCGGAACAGGTGTTATTGTTTGATTTGGTTAAATGAATTTGAGCTTGACTGCTAGTTCTACAGTTTGGGGAAGCAGTTTAATGAGCTTGTTTATGTCTATGGTTGCATACAAATTAGTGCTTATGCACCAAGTTTATTAGACTGTTTCAGAACAAGCATAATTGTTGTGGAGATGAGAACTGGATATATTCGAATTTCTCTTTGTTCGTGGGATTAGGTTTGCTGAGAAACAGGGTCTTTTTGGGAGCAAAATGACAATGGTACAACATTTTGGAATAATTCATGGAAGCTCGTAAACATAATTAGACGGTGGGCATAGTGAAGGCTGATGCAGCAATAATATATTAGCCAACACTTCTGATGAAAGAGAAAGCATAACTGTTCCTTAGCTTGGATCCTTCGGACCAAAGATAAATCATAGCTGTGCCATATCTTGGACAGTTCGGACCTAGGAAAAATCATAACTATGCAATAGCTTGGACGCTCAACATTCAGAAAAAAGTGTTTAAAAAAATATTTTGAGCTTGATGTGTTGTGTCATTCTTGAAGCCAAACATTTCAAGTGGCCAATATTCTATAATTCTTGGATAAAATGGAAGCATACTTTTTTTTTTTTTTGTATCTGCTAGGATTTGGAGGCCAATGTAGAGCAGTTTGGTCTTATTTAGCAGTGCTACAATCCAGAATTTTGATATGTATAAATTCTGGTATATGTTTATCAAAAAAGGATTTACTTGTAAAATGAAGAATTTCCTTTTGTAATGTGAGCCGTAATAAGTTAATAACAGCTCTGTATTGAAGAGCAAGGCAGTTGGCATATTTTCTTGTCAGAATTGTGGCTTAGCGAAAGTGGTATTTCTCTCTTCCTGAGCAATGATTTGACATATGTCAAGAAAATCCAAAATGGAATGACATATTATTAACATAAATTAAATTTAAATACAGAATTTGCTGTCATGTGAACTGGGCACAGAGAAAGGCTGGATAAGACGATCAAGACAGTTGACTGATCACAGAGTGTACTTTCCAAAGCCTTAGGTGTATTGGGCTTGTGTCTGCAGAAAATATTTTAGTGTATGGATGTCATATGTCATATTATCACCAAACCGCCATCATTCTGAGTTCAAGGACTGACTTCTCAGGTTTACACTGAACTTTTTTTAGCAAAGCGTTTATATTGGGCTCTTCAGTATTGAAGATATCACGCCATATGAGTAGGAGGATATGACTTCACATCAATAGTTAAAATAATTGTGCCACAAATAGTAAACGGTGACAACCCAATTAGTGAATGTGCTTTAAATGTTAAATATATGATTTTTTACTGATTATTTGGTATGTTGTATTTTAAAGTCTTAAAAGGACATATTACATTATTTTGATTAACAATTTTGTGATTTTATTTGGTATTTTGTATTTTTAAGTCTTAAAAGGACAGCTTCTTTACACATAATGCAGATGTTCAGTTGACCAGATGCAAATTTGATTCAGTTAAATATAGTTTTATGAATATCTTTTCTGGCATTATTGTTTGTGAATTAGTATATGAGTTTTTTCCTTCTCTTTTTCTTTCTTTTTTTAGTAAAAATATATACATGGTAAGATGTCCCCCCCAGTTCTGGTTGTACGCTATATATATATATATATATATATTTATATTTTTTCAAGTAACTGGTTGTAGTACTTAACTTCTTAAATATATCTGTTTTGCTCAGTTCCTGGTGATCCTTATCTTGTAGAGAATGATGTTCCCTCAGCTCCTGTTCCAGCACCATCTGATGACCACATTGCAGGTACAGATGGTATCTATATTAAATGTTGGGTTTTGAGCAATTCTGTTGTAATATGAACTGTTAACTGCTACCAATTTTGAATAGAATTTATTATCTAAAATGAATGTTAATCTCTATTAGTATGTAGTCCTATTTATTACCTGGAGTTTATTGAAGTTAAAGATGAGTGATGGCAACTTTAAGAAGTATTATAATAATTGAATTGATTGTTTCCGAAAAAGTAGCAAATATAGGAAGGCATATTTTCAGCTATAGGTTTCTTCTGAGCCATAAAAAATTGTTTGCATTGCAAACTTATTAAATAAATACCGAGTTATATTTGCTTCATAATATGGTTCCCTGTGAAGTGAGGTACCTTTTGCCTTTGAATATATGGCAAGATTAAAATAAAACCTGTTTTTTTAAAAGAAAAACAGAAAAAAGAAATTTGACTTTTAGAGAAGACCTAAAAGTAGAAATTTTAAACAAATAATTTTGCTTTCTTATGTTGTGTTCAGGGACGGACCCAGCAGGGGACTAGGGGGGGCAGATGCCCCCCCTGAATTTTTAATATTTTCATTTTATACCTTAATGTTTTTAAAATTTATGAAAATGCCCCCCCTAAAATTACAATTCGCCCCCATTGGATTCTTTTTTTTTTAGCATTTTATACTTCAAATTTTGATAATTTATGAAGATGCCCCACTATAATTATAATTTGTCCCACTGATTTTTTTTTTTTCATTTTATACTTAAATTTTTTTAAAATTTATGAAAAAAAACCCTACTAAAATTACAAAAATAAACCCATCATATAATTTTGTACCCACAAATTAAAAATTCGCCCCCCCTCACCAAATTTTCTGGGTCCGTCACTGGTTGTGTTCATGTTTTTTGGAACATTCTAGCTAATCTATAGAGTAAATTAACAATAATATTGCAAAGCAACCATTTTTTGAGATAACATATTTCCTCGGAAGAAGCATTTCTTTAACCTCTCCATCAGTGCTTCCTACTTCATTGCCCTTTTCCCTCTTAAAAGTTTTTTTCCTATTAATCACCAATTTTAGTTGTTTTAAAAATTCTCTATGGTGAGACTTGTGCCTTGTGGTATCAGCACTTGTTGCTGCCATACGAAAGTTTCTTCTGTATTTTTTTTTTTTTCATAATTGGATTTTGTATCTTCTGTTTAATTATTGGTTATGTAATAATAAATATGCTATTTGTTTTTCAGCAAGTCAGGTGATTCATAAGGCTCACGTGCCATATGGGTGGATCATAGGGAGCTTGGGGATTTGCCTCGCTATAGTTGTTGTAATTGTACTTGTTTTTGTTTCCTTAAGGTCATCAAGCTGCTTTGCTGAAACCCAAGGAATTCATACAAAAGATCCTGATGCAAAAATTTCTCATAAATTCCATATCCTCCAGACCACAAACTTCTGTTGTGCTTCAGGGAGGGACATTTGCTGCAATTCTGGGGATGGGAAGCAGACTAATGGAGAGTCTAGTGACCGCCAGATAAACATTCCTAAAGGTTTTTTTTTTTCCCCTTATCATTTAAAGGCTTAAATTTTCGATCTCACTTATCTCAAATATTATCTGAAACTAACATGCAAACTCTGTGATAAAATAATCTGTAACATTTTTTAAGCATCAAATCAAGGAGTGTATAGCTCAAGTTTGTAGAAATGCTACCAAGGCAGGAAAAAAATATTAAATTTACAGAGTAAAATGTGCAAATTTTAACCGACCCACATCTGAATCGTATAATTGCAGATTATATATCTTGTGCATGTGCTCCTGCTATCTTTAGTGGTGATGGAATTTTTTTTCTAATCTTTGTTTGGGGTTTTCTCTGCCGGAGGGAGGGGGGCTATTCTTTTTTGGTTGTTTTAGGCTCCTTTTCTTGTTTTCTTTTCCTTCAAATTTTTATTTGTCAATCACTTCAGTTCCCATCCAATTCCACAATGTTATATTGGCTCCTTGGACCCTAAAACTAAATTGTATGAGAAACAGAGGAAGACAGTGGGAAAGCACTGATATGTAAAAGTCGAAAATGTGGTGTATTGGGAACCAGTGGAAGCTCTGATTCCACTTGTTGTGCACACTTGCACAGTGAGAGGTGTTCATATGGGGATCCAATCACACAGACAATAAACAATGACATGAGGAACACAATATTTACTGTGGTTGAGATAGCCCCCCTATTTCCATGGACGAGAAGGGTTAACCCTTTATAAACTTTGTGGATGAATTATAAGGTAGAGGATACTAAAATCATACACCAGTGCTTGAAATTTACTCAGTGTATCTGTTGTTCAATCCTCTAGCCTTACATGGTGTACCAGTTCAAAACCTTTTTGCTCTAGAGTACTTGATTGATGATGCATTCCCGTCTTTGCCACTCACTTCCAGTGTCTCGAGTCTATTATGCATTCCACAATTTCATGCACGCCAACAATGATATCTCAATTTAACCAATCATCTCTATGGTTTGTATGTGACGGTAGGTGCAAATCTCCCACACGTGCATCTCCCACGAGACTATATCTCTTTCAATTTTGATTCTAATAAGTTCCAACAAATGCATCTCTCATGGTTTGTAGGACAAGAATTACATTTCTTTTCACCTGAGAGTTCCCTAACAAAAATTTCCCCAAACAAAATTAGACATTCTTAATTGAAACATAATCAAATTAGGAATTTGAGAATATCACAACATAGTGATTTAATTAAACTGATATTTACCTCAAGTACATGTGTCACTGTTTATGTGGACCAAGAGTCTGTTTGGATATATAGATAGGGGGATTATGGATTTGGGCTTCTAAGTTGTTTCTGAAAAATTTACAAATTATAAGTAGAAATACTTGTACTTTTTTCTTTTTGATTGGGTAGAAGATGGGGGTTTGTTATCAAATCCTAAAACTCATATAGTTCATTATGTAATTTTTGTTGGCATTGCAAGGGAACAATATGGGATCCATTTAAATTACTCTCTCTCTCTCAAACACAGGCGCGCACGAGCATGTGCACACACAAACAGAATGCATGTCACTAGCCTCTAGGGATGCTATTCCATCGTGCTTGGAAATAATGTGGCAACTGTCAAATTGTACCCAAAGGATGACCTTAACTTTTCCATCTGTCAGTTACCTTGGGTTGAAGGATCAACATAATTTAAACCATTCTGTTCTCATTATATTATTAGGCTATATATAATAAATGAATGCTACATGGCTTCCCAACTATAACTCATTTCTGTGATAAAATGTTCCAACTATTGAGATCTATTGCCATTTTTCGTGAAGGGAAACTCCCCAATCTATTTCCATGCTGCTTTCTTTCTCTGCTCAGATGAAAAAATTCTTGAGCGTGTATCTTTTATCTCATTTTCTGCAGCTACAGGGACTGATGTCTTTGACATGGAGAAGCCTGTCATTTTCACCTATGAAGAAATTCTCTCTTCTAGTGATGGTTTTTCCGACTCCAATCTTATTGGGCATGGAACGTATGGTACTGTGTACTACGGCCTCCTTCGTGACCAGGTTTGCAGCTGTCATACATCTTCTAGTAATTTCTTGCACTTCCTAAACAATGAATTTACTACTCATGCCATTATTGATAAATAATTTTGAATGTTTGCAATCAGGAAGTTGCGATCAAAAGAATGACTGCTACAAAAACTAAAGAATTTATTGCAGAGATGAAACTTCTTTGCAAGGTTCACCATACAAATTTGGTAATGCTCATTCCAGTTTGAACTGACCCATATCACCCATTTCACTCTAAAGATTGTTTTCACTGTTTCCAGCATTTCAAAGCCTTGACTCTGTTTCTGTTTCGTGCATTTTAAAGCCTTGACTCTGTTTTGGGTTTAATTTTGTCAAGGTAGAATTGATTGGTTACGCGGCTAGTGATGATGAACTCTTCCTGATATATGAATATGCGCAGAAGGGTTCACTTAGAAGCCATTTGCATGATCCCCACAACAAAGGTAAGATTACATGCCTGCTCATTGTTACACATATATTTCATCCTATGCTGTCCATAAGGATCTTGACTTGTGCTACCTCACTTGTATTAAGGTCTGTTATCATCTCTACATTAAAAAATTTGATTAAATAATTTCTTATCAAATAAGTTTTGATAATAATTCCGCATGATAATGTGAGAAAATATGTTAGTGTGTTTAATGATGACAGTATACTTACTTTTGACTACGGAACCCTCATAAATGTGTCTGACACTAAGCAACATAAACCGTTGCACATTGTCAGCTTCATTATACATTGTTTCTCCAAAACAAGAAAAGGGGTCTCCTTGCAACTAGGATAGCCTACCTTGTCTGAAACCTTGCCTAGGATCATATAAATGCTGATAAGGTCAGGGTAGGCTCAATTTGCAGACGTTCTTTCTCTGGCGAGCTCAAGCTAAAGAAGATCGTACTCTCCTGTGATTCTGTAAAGTATTATTTAGCTTAGTTCCTTCGTTTTCTGAGAGTGAAGATGAAAATCTTACTAATTGGTGGACAATTGGTTAATAGTGTGAAAGAATTTGTGACCACGAAGTGATTTTACCATATAAAACAGGTCCGTTTGAGCAGGCTAAAGCTTTTTTGAATTTACAAGTCATTGAAAAAAATGTGCATGACTAGCCTAAATACTGGGCCAGACCAAGTCAAGTTGTTTGTACTTTGTGCTAGGTCTAACCTGCCATATCACCACCTATATATTTTACCATTTCATCAACTCCTGCAAATGCTTTAGATTTGTTTCGTCTAAAAATCTATATAATTTTCTTTTCTGATCACAATATGCCCTTCTGTGTCTTATGGATGATACCTGGCTTCTACCTTATCTAAAGGTTAAAGCATGAAACAAGGTAGTATAACCTCATAATATGATCGATTTATCCATGCATTTGCTAGTAATGACTTATTTATACAAGACTAAATGTTGCATTGATTTCTGGGTAGGTCACACGTCACTCTCTTGGATCATGAGGGTTCAGGTTGCACTTGATGCTGCTAGAGGTCTTGAATATATACATGAGCACACTAAAAGCCATTATGTGCATCGAGATATCAAGACAAGCAACATCTTACTTGATGGTGGCTTTAGAGCCAAGGTTTTTACCTATTTTGCGACATTGATTTCAAATTTATAGTCCAATGTTTAGTGATTGCTTCTCTGACTTTCTTTCTTGTAAATAGATTTCAGATTTTGGATTGGCAAAACTTGTTGGAAAAACTAGTGATGGAGAAGCTTCGACTACAAGAGTTGTTGGAACTTTTGGTTATTTGGCTCCAGAGTACGTGAATATACTGCCATTCAACAGTCACAGACTGCAACAAGTTCCTAAATTGTTTTTCTCACTGCTTTACTCTTCTGGTTCCTTACAGATACTTGAGGGATGGCCTGGCCACAAAGAAGAGTGATGTATATGCATTTGGTGCTGTTCTTTTCGAAATAATATCAGGAAAGGAGGCCATTACACGAACTGAAGGCAGTATGATGAAAAATCCTGAAAGGCGATCACTGGTATCCATTGTAAGTCTATATCATACTATTACTGCATGATTAAAAGAGACTCAGTTCTGTCCAATAAATTGATGGATATGATTCACATGTAACGGTATGAATATACTTTTATTCTTATTGATATATTGCAGCCTGGTGTAATCTGCTTACAAACAAAATTTTAAATATGTAGTCCTTGATACACTGACTTAAGAAAAGGTTCATCACCAAGTACTGGTTCCATAAGTGTTTGCCTTGAACACTGATTGCAATTTATTCAATAAGAAATATTGTTTCTAAAATTTTACGCTTACAAGGTGCATGATCTTTGGGTTGAAAGTTGGCTATGATTTTGTCCGGATCTTATATGTTTCCGGGAAAAAAAAAAACACTATATTCTGGTAATTTTCTCCTTATGCAACCTGATAATTTTATTTAACGATTATAATTGAAGAAACAAAAGATAAAAAAGGAACAAAAGGGGTAAGAAATAATAGTGAAGGGCTCTGGTGTGGAGTTGGTTGATAAAAGGTTGAGATTTCAAGAACTTCATTTCTAGGAAAATTTCAATAAAAAACCTATTTTCCAAAAAGAAATTATTGAAGGGTGTTTGCGCTTATGCTACATATATTTTTGCAGGCTGAATGAAGACTATTTGCTGAGAAAATCACACTTTCCCCTCTATATATAATTTTATTTTGGGAAGAAGGGGATGCTGGTGGGGTGGGTTTCTAGAAGCATATATATCAGCCAAGAGAACAAAGTTCCATGAATAGTACAACTATTGACATAACTCTGTAACTAGTATACTTCGATGGAGGGAAGATCTCTTCTTTAGTCAACGAACCGTTGGGAAGAAGCACATAGCAAATTAGGGCAAAATTTGTGAACAGTACAAGAGACCTAAGCAGCTCTATACCACTCATTAGAATTGTGCACGCTTGGCCGGACAGAAATTAACTAAATTATCTATCTATACTAATCAGTATTTAATGAAAAAAAAATGATGGATATAAAGGCTGTAGACAACAACTATAGAACTATAAAAAGAAAAAAAATCATGGTTTCCTATCTAAGTTGATGGTACTGGAAATTATGTCTTTTGACCTGTTGAAAATGGATTTCTTTGTTCCATACGCGGACCCTGCCCGCGGGGCGGGGGTAGTGATTTGCATGATACTGATACATAATATGCCCAGTTGGGTTATGATAGTTGTTTGGAGGGAAATGCATGCTGGGAACTATAACCTGACTGCGTTGGGCGCATAATCAGAATTACTTGCGGTATCATTCCTCCAAAGCAGTTACAGGAGATTCACTTTCTTGAGGTTAAAGGTCTTCATGGACTATGCTAGAATTTTAACCTGGATCATCTCTAGCCAGCCTTTTACCATGACTTGGTGGCAGGGGTGAAAGCCTGACTGTATGGACGAATTATTATACTAAAATATATTTTACCTGCAAAAAATCAAAAGCATGTGTGAGCATGGTATTGGTAGCATAGCAGCATTGGTGATGCAGATTTGATCTTCATTGAGTGAAATGGTGATTGGAAGCACTTGATGTCTTGGTGGTAGTTGGTAACCAAGGGCGAAACCATGTATCATAATGGGGCCTTCAAACTCCTTTCTCGTCCTTTAGACTTTATGCCTTCTCTTGAGAATTATGGGAGTCTCCCACCTCCCCAATTCTAAAAAATTTTCATCGGGCCCCAATTCTGGCCTCTCCAAGTCATAAATCCTTGCTCTGTCCTGGCGGTTGCTGTTTTGACAGTTATAGTTATGACACATTGTCTGAGGCTTGATTGTGTTTCAGTTGATGGAGGCTGGTGGTACTGTTGGTGTTTATGTCTGTACCATTATTTTTCTGGTAGTGCTGTCTATGATACAAATGGTGGTAGTAGTGATTCCCTATTGAGTATTGATGGGGGGGTTTTGTAAAGAAAGGAAAAACTTTTGCTTTCAAAATTAGTACCTCTTTGTTTTACCAAAGAAAGTCCCTTTTTGCCTTTGTTTGCTTTTCGGATCTTTCCTTAAAACAGGAGGAAAATCCACCCCTGTAATTCTAAAATGCAAAATTTTCTAATTATTATTATCATTATTCGCAATAGAGATTTGAAAAGAAAAACCAACACTGGTAATATGTAGATACCTGAATTTTGTTATAACCAGATTAACAATATGCACCCATCTTGGCCAAAAAAGTATAAGATACCTCAAACTTTATTTTCAAACTGCTTACTTGTTGAAGTAATCCACTTTGTTGAAGAAAAAAATAATAATAAAAAAAATTGCATCCTTAAATGATTTTTCTTGGTTAAAATATGGTGTTTAGAACAAATACTTGCTAATCAGTTGAAGTCGTACATAGATAGATCTAAAGAGTAAAAATCAACTTTGCTGGACTCATACAGTTCATATTATTGGTCCTAGTTAACATTATATTAATTCTAGCAGCACTTTACTAATATGCTTTTCAATGCTCTGTCATGCAGTTCTTAATATGTTTTGTTCTCATTTGCATTCTTTCTTAGTTAAGTCTAAAGCTTTCTGTGATTTTTTCACCACATTTGTCTCTGTTTCAGTTGTTTACTTGTGGGATTGTAACCTTGTCTAAGCAGCAAAGCATGCATATCAAATGTTACTTTGTTGCCGCTAAGACCCTAATGCTTGTTTATTTTTGCAGATGCTAGCAGCTATCAGGAATTCACCGGACTCCCTTAGTATGTCTAGCATGAAAGATCACATTGATCCTAATTTGATGGATTTGTATCCCCATGACTGTCTTTTTAAGGTAGAATATAATTTACCTTTGACCTGATGATGGTACATGTTAACCGTGCTGCTGCCTTAGTGGGATAGTTCCAGGTCTAGTGTCTCCTATAGCTAACCTGAAAAATAAATGATCATGGATGTTTCATTTTTTCTGAATTTTTTAAAATCTGAATAACATGAACTGAAAAGAGGCATGGGAGAGGACAAAATTAGTTTGGCCTTGTTCTCTCTTGATTGCTGGAACTGAAAGTATAAACTATGGCAAAAAGGTCAAACTCACCTATTATATGGTTAGATGAAAATTTTAATACTCTACAGTTCCATATCGTACTCCTAATATGATGATAAAGACAATAGTTTAAATGACATTACGAAATGGATGATGGGGAAAAATTAGTTTAAATGACATTACGAAATGGATGATGGGGAAAAATTAGTTTGTGAGCAAATTATTGAAGTTAAGAATTAAGTGCTTCCATTGATGTTTGAAATTGGATTCTCCGGTTATAATGTAGTTACTGACCTTTTTCATTACTTCTTGTTGCATCTCTTTGCATAGATGGCATTACTGGCTAAGCAATGCGTTGAGGATGATCCCATTTTGCGACCAGACATGAAACAAGTTGTGATTTCTCTTTCACAGATCCTTTTGTCCTCTGTGGAGTGGGAAGCAACTCTTGCTGGGAACAGCCAAATATTCAGTGGTCTTGTTCAAGGAAGGTAGTAGATGATAGAAACTCCTCATGTGTATTCCAATATTGTGTTTATAATATAGCACTTGTAGTCCACTGAAGTATTAATATCAGTGGTGGTTTATGCATGTCATCTATCCCTTTTCCCCCTTCCCTTTTAGGTGATTGTATTCTTTTGAAACTTGCTTTGCTTGTGAAAGTTTTGATGGAATGTGAGATGTGATGATGGAGCTGAAATCGGCTTTCGTTTTTTTTAAATCAGTAATCTATTTTAAATAGCTGTTATGAATAGCAAGTGCTTTTTGATTGTGTTATAATGTGTCTTGGACCTCTTTATTTTTGTTTTTAGAATTTGATTACTCTTGCCATATGAGGTCAGGAATGATGGTGCAACAAAATTGCACCTCCACATAATCTGTATAAACTCTATGTTGTATCTCAAATATTTTCTTCAACGTGTACCGGATTTATTGGATATCATATCTTACAGATCAAGAAGCAAGGAATGACAGGTTTTGATTTTTCACTTTTCTATTTCTTAGCTTAGATTTTGCAATGGGGACTTGCAAAAGGATGGTCCCATGAATTGTAAAAGGATGGTCCCATGAATTTTTCTTTGAGTCTTCGCAGGTTATATGCTTGTAGCAGGAGATGACGTTAAAGTAAGAGAATTAATGAGATGAATGGTTTTCTCTCTCTGTTTTCTGAATCTTTGCTTTAATAATTGTTATAATGACATTAAATTAAAAGCCCCAGTTAATGAGATCTTTTCTTTTTTCACTTTTGAGTCTTTTAATCATGTCGTCAGCTTGACCCCTTCAGAAAGGGGCTCTTAGAATTCAGGACCCATGGGTGCCCAAAATCTGTAGCACATCTTCGTGGTTTTGGGTAATTGGAGATATTGTTAGTCATCTTAATGCAGTTAATTTTGATTATTTGTGGTTATAGTGGTGTCAAATTTCTTAGAGTACTTCATAATTTACCATTCAGGCAAATAATCTTAAAGGGGGAATCAAATTCTCAACCTTCAAGATGTGAGATGAGAATTTTGCTGTTAAGCAAAAAAGTGTATGGGAGCTCAATATTCCAACAACTGCTCCTTGTTGTAGAGAAAATTATTACAGAAACAAACATTTATGCTAATGAAGATTCCAATGACCCACTTGTTTGGTACCGGTTCTCCGGCATCTGCTGTTTGGGTTTACCTGTTTGAGATTTTAAAGTGCCCCATTCAAAAATTCTACTCATTGGATCAGCTTGTGGAGCGGTTCCTGCACAATACAAGAAGAAAGAATTTTGCATCTAGGTTTCTGCATGCTGTCTTTTCCTATACCATCTGGAAGATTTGGTTAACTTAGTGTGGACACCCATTTAGGCAAATTACGTGGCAGTAAGGCGGCAAGTATTTGAATGATGATGTGGCACCTAACTAAGTGATGATTTGATAAGAGTAGTTGTATTGTGCACGTAATTTTGGGTCATGGAGGGATATTAGAATTGTTAAAGGAGATAATTAAGAAGTTATTAGGGAAAAAATAAGAGGTTTGGACAAGTAAAAGTGTCATTATCCTTAATTAAATTTGTGGAGAAGAAAGCTTATACATGGAGTAACTTTGTGTAATCAATTGTAATACAATAGTTTAAATTTAGGAAGTAGTTTATTTCAAGACTCTTTAGTTTTCAACAAATAATTGTAGAAGCAACCCTTGTTAAGGGTCTAGCACCTAAAACACTCTTTTGTGTAAAATATACACTACCACGTATTTTATTTAATTATTTTTATTTTTATTTTCAGTAGTCTGTTAATATATACTGTCACATCACCTATGTGTAAAATTGTTGTGTATTTTACACAACTTTTTTACATAGCCACATCAACATATTTCTTTTTTCCTCCCTCTTTCTCATTCCATTAACGAATTAACCTTATATTAAGTAGGTTTGTAAAAATTATGTATGGTTCAGGCATGATATTGGTTGGTTGTTATTGGGGGATATATTTTTACACAAAAGGTATAAAATAACCGCTGGAGTGAAAAATAAACAATCTAAATTTTTTGTGTAAATCTATTATTGTGACGGCCTTGGTTTTTCAAGCCAGTGCGTCCTGTGATGACTCGTAAGATGACCCGAAACGAATCCGGAATGCGGAAGCAAAAATAAAAACAAGGTCTCTAGGGATATAAGACATCCCTAAGATGCCAAGGTGATCTTCACGGAACTCGAAAGATTCAAATGCGGAAGCTAAGATTATAAAATGGGAAGGGTACTTGACCAGGGGTAGAATAGTCTTTTCAAACAAAACAGGATGCAACTGAGCATACGATTAGATAGACAAGAAAAAATTAATAAATCTAGATTCAAAAATCACTTGATTTGGAGTCCGGATGAAGAAGATATAAAACTCCAAAGTTTCATAAAATTAAACTTTCCGGTTTCAAATCAGTGTGGCAATGGTACTTGACAAGGAGTAAAAAGGTCTTTTAATTAGAACTGGATGCAACCGTGTATACCATTGGATAGACAAGGAAAAATTAATAAACATAAAATCAAAAATCACTTGATTCGGAGTCTGGACGAAGAAGATATGAAGCTTCAAAGTTTCATAAAATTAAACTTTTCGGGTTCAAATCAGTGCTACAAGGGTACTTGACAAGGGGTAAAATGATCTTTTCAGATAGAACTAGATGCAACCGTGCATACCATTGGATAGACAAGGAAAAAATAATAAACTTAGAATGAAAAATCACCTGATTCAAAGTCCGGACGAAGAAGATATGAAATTTCAAAGTTTCATAAAATTAAACTTTTCGGACTTCAAATCTGGCAGTGAATAGTGTTTTGATAGCAGTGAAGGTCCAGAATTGAGAGCAAAGAGGCTGAAACGAATTTTTCTACCCGGAAGAGCGGAAGAAAATGAAAAAAATACACTGTGAAATGCCCAGAATGCCCTCAAGAAAAATCAAGTCAATGGTGCCTAAAAGCTGCTAAAATGAAAAGAAAAAAAAGAAAAAAAAGAAACAACTGAACTTTGCACGGGATTTCTGTCACTAGGACGACATTTTTTGGAAAAACACGAAGAAGAAACCCCCCTTAAAATCACGTTTTCTAAGTGACCATGTCAAGGTCGGAGTTTATTTTCAAACTGGAATTCCCAAAATGCCTTTAAACCAGATTTATTCAAAAAAATGTCAAAATGAGTCCATAGGGTGCTCATTTTGCAAAATATGACTCTAAATTTGAAAACGATCATGCACGCAAATGTAAATAATGATTTTGAGCGCGCAGGAATGGTCCGCGGCTCCCGAAAAGACCTGATTCAAAATCCGACCCCTTGACGGCCAAAAATGGCTAAAATGAACTAGGAATGGAAACCTTCCAGTCTATAAAAGGCTACAAGTGGCATTTCAAGCCAACCTTTACAAGAATTGAAACCTTCCAGTCTATAAATCATCCAAGCATAATGAGAATCTCGAACCTTGAAACCTGTACCTGAAAAATGTTCCCACTACGTGGGTGAGTAACATAAAGCTACTCATGGGAGATGTGTAATGACCCGGTCATTTTCCTTCCTTTCATTTTTTTCAGATTTTTTGCGGATATTTTTTTTTATTTTTTTTTTGTTGTCTTTTCTTTTCTGAGTTCGGTTTCTCATTAGTTTTCTAAATTTTCATTTTTTTCGATACTATTCACTTTTCGTCTTTTTCCCGTCTGTCACTTTGTTGGCACAACCTCACTTTTCATGTTCGAAGTTGAGTTTTGACTTCATGAGTTTCATTCCAGTTGATTTTCTCGAAACGCGTAGCTTTACTTTTGGAGAAAAGCTCGCCGGTTGTTTCCTTTTCCCGCAGGGGTGTGGATGAAAGGATTCTTCAGAAACATTCTTATTTCTTGGGGTGTTTTTCATAAATATCTTGTGAAGATATATATTTTGGAATATATTTTCATTCTGGGCAGTTTTGAATTTATCACTTTTGTAGGGGCCATTGTGCAATTAATGAAAGTTATCGCAAAATGCCTCGTTTTGAGCCTGAATCCTCGTACGGGATTTATTTTCACTTTTCGTCGAGTCGCATACTGTTAGAATTATCTTCTGGTCATTTTTCCTAGTTTTAGGGTTTCTGACCCCAGTTGCGGCCGAACTTGTTCGGCGTTATCTTTCTGTTCGGGACTAGATTTTCTGTGCCGTTTCTTCTATTGTTCATTTTATCTCATTTTGGTTCTTTTTTGTTCATAGTGTTTTACCGTTTGAGCACATCTGCGCAAATTCCACATTTTCGAACCCGAAAGGACCTGTTTGGAACACTTTTAGGGTTTTTCTATAAATAGGGGGTGTCATAAGAAAAAGTCAAACTTTCTCATCTCTTTCCCCTCTCTTGGCCGGCAGCCAAGGGGCTGCCACCCTTCTTCTTCTTTTTCCGGCCTCTTCCCTTGTGATAAATACCGTAGTGCCTTAGTGTTTGTTGTATGCCTTGGTGAGATTTTCCTTTCCCCCTTATTAGAATCCGTTTTTGACCATTTTTGAGTTCGGGTTTGGATTTTCAAGGTGCCTTAAAGGTTAAAGTTGCTTCCCTCGTTGTTCCCGACGTAACCTAGGAGTATCATCGGATTTGGAGCGGTTTCCTTTCGGTGGGATTTGAGATTTTCATCTCAAATTGAGGTAGGGGATGTTATAAGTTTATATTTTTGTTGTCTTGCATGCTATTGATGCTTATACAACTTGTATGAATACTTTTGTTCATAATCTAGAATTTAATTTAATTATTTTCTTTATATAAGATTTAATTCACATGGTTGTATATGTGACGGAATTAAATTGTGGCATGCTATTAAATTAGGCCTTGCTATGTTTATTAACATATATAAAATTGAGAGAACACTTGAGTAAGTATTGTAACTTTTATTTAATAATTTTATTTTATGAAAGTTTAATTCACATGGTTGTAACTAGTTTGAAATCAACTTATAATGTGATATTAAAATAAGCCTTGGTATGTTCTTTAACCTATGTTAACTTGAGGACATTTGAAATTGTTTTAAAATCTAGAGAAAATTAATTGACTAGTTTAATTAATTTTATTTTAGGTGTTTTATTCACTTAATTGGATTTTTAACTTGATATTGTTGATGACCATGCTATTTCTCTTAACATATATTAAATTGAGGCTATTTGGAATTAATTTGAAATCTAGAAAATTTAATTATTTTTATTTAATTAAATTCTATCTAATTATTCCATGGATTTAATTATGTTTTAG